TAATTTATTTATGACATTTAAATTTTATTATTATTATTTCTGATATTTTAATCTTCAAAACTTTTGATTTACCACCATCCCTTTAGCTAATTATATTAATTGTTACCATAAAAAAAAGATAAAGGAGTGTTTCTCACCATCCTTCTTGTATCATATTGCAAATTGAATTCTTGGATAAAGGGTTAGTATTGATAACCTTTCTCCCATTTAAAAATCTTTATCTTGTAATACAATATTATCTAATCGTAAAACAGTAAATTTAAAAAGGAGTTCATAATAATATATTATTTTACTTATGAATTACTTATTCACAAAACAAAATTACTAATAGCAAAATTTAAATTTAAAGAACAGCCAAATGAAGAGTGCAATTTACCAATTCAGCCAAAAAAAAAAAAAACTGAATGCTGCGGTTTCCATTTCTTCTCAAGGTTTAGCAGTGTGCAACCCCACATGAAACATACGAACGTGCATACGTACAAACGCGTTTTCTTGGGCAGAAGTTACACAGAAAAAGCATGTCCGATTCTGATGTTTCCAAGACCACTCGAGAACCCACCTTTTTTTTAAAAAACAAAATAAACCCACTATCGGTCATCCTTATCCGCTTCTCTAACCGCCCTCTCCCCTTCTTCTTTCTCTTTTAAATACTCATTTCTCCTCTATTTTTACTCAAGAAAAAAAACTTCAGAAAACAGAGAAAAAGAGTGGAAATTGCTATAATGGCGGATATTGCTATATTGGTTGCAGAAGAGTACGAGAGGAGGATCAAGAACTCGAGGAAGGAAAACGAGGGTGTGGAAAGAGTGGAGGGTCAGGTTCCTGTGGTCTCCTTTGTTTCGGTCTTGGCTGGGAGGATGAAAGCCAGAGTTGTTGGGCACCAGAACATGGAGGTTGTGAAGAGGTTTGGTTTAGAACCCAAGAGCCAGATTGCGCTTGCTGCCTCCAACGGTTTCTTCTCTGCTTGAAATTTCCCTTTTAATTTGCTTCTCCATGTACCTGTTGTTCCTGAATTTGTAGATAAGAGAAGGAGCAAAGAAGCCTATTTTTACTTCCCCCCGTTTATAAATAAAATTGTTGCTTTTTGCTCTTTATTGAATTGAATTGAGCTTTCATCTTCTAATTTTGATAATCTGATATCAGGAATACAGAATCTAATTAGTGGGTTCAAAAGGGTTCTCTGTGTTTTTTTTCTTTGACATTCAAGCATATACATAAAGGGATTATGTTATTCTGGGGCAGCAGATTGTTTGATGAGTCTAAACAACATTGCCCTCTTTGTTTGTGTTTGAATTGGTGGATTTTATCAGTTTATAGCTTCTTCTTTTTTTTTCCTTCCTTAAATATAGCTAGTTAAGTTGATTGGAAATATCATATATTCTTTCAGCTTGTTATTCTAAGAAATAACAGTACAAATATTAGTTGTTGGTAACCAAAAAAACCAAACAAAGTTTCAATTAACAATTCAAAGTCTCTTAATTCCAACCTTCAGGATTTTTAAAATAATAATTTTGTAATTTTTTAAAGATGTGGAAATAAGAGATAACAATGTTCTTTGTCTACCTACTTCGAATTTGTTTTCCTTATACAATTCTTTTTTTCTTTAAAAAAATGGAATAAATAGCTAGCTTTGAAATTGCAGTGAAGGAGGTAAGAGGAAACCCAAGGGGGAAAACATTCTTAAGGGGTCATAGTAAAAGTTACAAATCTAGGAGAGATAATTAGAAATTTTCAAATTTTAAGAGTGGCCAAGGCCTCCTCAAACTCACAATTCTTGTTGACATAACCTCACTTATGCAATTTCTTCTACCAAAAAGTATAGTGCAATTTGAATTATATTGAATTATTTACAATATATTAATCAATAGATGAGGATTAAGTTCTTTAATACTAGAGTTTTTTTTATTTAATAATTTTTATTTTATAATTTAGTTTAATTTAGATTATAAAATAAGATTTTCTTTTTCTATTTATTTTATGATACTTGATGGCAGAATATGTAACATTATCCTGTTTTCTTCTCTTAACACTTAAATTATATTATTGGAAAAGAAAAATCTGCAATTAAAATCTGAAACCAAACATCAAATTTTTTATTCATCAGGGCTATACCCCATTTTCATTGATATTAAACATTTTCACCTACTTGGCCATGAAATTTTGCAAACTATGACCATTTCAAGTGTTTTTTTTTCTTATATTTTCAGCGGGAAGTATAAAAAGAAGCAGAGAAGGAAGCTAGAACATTTCTAGGGGGTCATTTTGTAACTTTATGAATCTGGAAGAGATAAGGCATGTGTGAAAAACTTACTAATTAAAGAGCAAATCTGAGAACGATGATCTGAATAAATCTGGCTGAAACCATTAAAAATCTGGACAGGTACTTCTTTTTACGAGTTACATCAATTTCACTCTCATTACAGTAACACAATCAAGCTGGCAGGACCAAACTACGTTTTTCTTTTGCTGAGAAGGACCAAATTGGAAATGAGAAAAATATGTTTTCTTTTGCTGAAAAGGACTAATTGGAAATGAGAAAAACCTTTTCCATTTAGATATTTTGGTACTCATTAGAATCCAGCTTTTTGCAATTTTTATCAATATTTATAGTTTCTGCAAAAATCACTTAGGAAATATAAGCAGCAAAAATTACCAAAAATAAAAAATAAAAGGGAAAAAAAGGGTGAAAGTCAGCTCTCTTTGGAGGTTAAACCTTATGGAATGTCCTAATCACAATTGCGAAAATTAAGCATTGCTTTATGAGAAAAGTAAAAATTAAAATGTCTGATATATAAAATATTAGAATAGTTTGTGAAATTGTTAAAACAAACACTTAATAAATTTTTTGTTTGTTAATTCATTAAAAAATATTAAAATCTTTATATTATCATTTTAGGCATTTTAATTACCAAAAAAAAAGTTGATTTCCGCAATCCCTATTGCTTTGTAATTGTAGTTGGGTATCAAAAATGTTCAAACCACCAGTTCTCACACCCCAATTACATTTACGCAGCTGCTATCAAAATCACTTCATATGAAACTGAAATAAATAGAAGGGTGCCAAATTGTCACTAATCCTACCCTCTGATCTAGCTTTTGAATGGAATGAACTGTGGAACCTTAATATAAAAGATCAAGTGAAAGACTTCATATCCAACTGGTAATTGGTAAATAAAAACCCAAAAGCTAAATCCTAAAATGTTTATCAAATCCAATCCCTTTAACATCTTTCCACATGATATGAGTGATACTAAAATGTGAGTTTCTTAGGACTCTGAAAGAAAAGGCTTTGATAACCAATAATTTAACAAAAGGACATTCTTAGGCTAAACTGATATTCAACCGCTTATCTAGGGCGTGAAACGGTTAAATGAGGCACAAGTGAAAATCAAGAAACATGATCATCGTTTTCAAGCTAATTAAGTAAGCAAGCTCACACTCATGACGGTTCAGTATTGCTACCACGAGGCTCAAAAAGACCCATAAATATCATCAAATATCTAACATATTGAAAGAGAGCGAATACCAGTTTTCCTAAAACATTTATGATGTGACCTTAATTAATTCCAATAATTGGGCCAAACCCACACGGTTTACATGAGGTTTGTCCATTTTAAGTTTTTAACACCCCCATCATAATCACCATATCAAAAGATTGTATTATACACAAAATTTTTGGCCATAATCTTCAAAACAACAAAATTTCAACAATTAGGCATGGATTGGACTAGAACATTCACCACCAAAATTGCTTAATTTCAACAACATTCAATAATAGCCTTGTTTGTGTTGAGACTATTGTACATGGTACTATTTCACATAGCAACTTATTCAAAAATATAAATCTATTTAGTAATTTTAACTAACATTTTATACATTTTTGTGATAGTAAAAGATGAAAAAGGACCGACAACCATAGCTTATACAGTACAACACCACAGAAATATTCCAAACGAAGCACATATAAGATATGCATAGATGAACCAAAAGCTTACATCAAAATTCTTGTACTTTATCATGGATCCAGAACAGGTATTCATGTTTGCAACACCCTAGCTAGAAAAGTAATAAATTCGCCATATACAATTACTAACCCTGACAGAATTAAAGCAAATCAGAACAATCTATTTCTATCGATACTGTAAAATGCAGATATGGCCCTCACTATCTCCTCATCATACTCGACCTCATGTTGCTGGCGATAAAATTCAGCGACAATTCTCTCAGGCAAGACCTTAGTCCTGCAGAGCGGGCAAGTAGCCCGATATTGCTGCAACCATTGGTCCAGGCAATCCCTGTGGAAGGTATGCTTGCATTTCAATTTCCTAACATTCTCCCCTTCCTTAATCTCCGATAAACAAACGGTGCATTCGTTCGGTTCCAGCGTCGATTTTTTGGAGAAATGAATCGTGGGGTTGTTGTCTTCGATGTATTCGAGGTACTGGGCAAGGGTGATCGGGTCCTGTGAGTGATAGCCGGTGACGGAACGGATCAGAGTCACAAGCTGGAGAATTAGGATGAAGATGAGGGCTAGGGTGATGGTGTAAAAGTGGGAGAAGGATTCAGAGAGAGCTGCCAAGCTTGCCATGGATGCTGAGGGAGAGAAGGCGGTTATGGATTTGGGAATGATGGTCTGAATGATTGAAGTTAGGCATATTAATGTTGATTTTGGTGTCTTCATTCGCTTATTCTCGTGAGTCGTGCGGGGATAAGTATCTTTGGTGTCCGTGACATGGGACACGTGACTCGTAATTGAGACCAAAAAATTTCCATGTCCAACACAAACAAATCTATTTGGATTTTTTTTTTTTTGTTACTTCTACCGTAAGTTGAGGAAACTTTAAAAATTAATTTGAAGTTGCACCCAAAAAAACAAAATTTTTTGAAGTATTTAAATTTATTTAGTTATTATTTAAAAATATTATTTAATATTTTTATTTATATTTTATTTTTATTTTAAGGTCCATGTGGTTAAATGTTAATTTTATCAATAAAATTTTTACTAAAAAAATAGTTAAAAATTATTGTATAGAAAGTTAATAATTTTATTAAAATTTTGTTAGATGGTTAATTTTTTCATATTTAGTAAGAAAGTGGTACATAAAAAGTTGGTAGGAGAGTTATCAAGTAAGTTCTATATAAAAAAATTACAAGTAAATTATTTTCTTTCAAAAAATGTAAGAAAAGTTTATGAATTGAGAATAGTATTAGAAAAAATAAAGGCTAGAATTGTCAAGTTTTAGATGTTAAAGTTACACAAAATTTTAGTTATTTATTTTTCTACTTTTAATAATTAAAATTCATTCACTTTTTATCATATTTATTTAAATATATTTATCTTTTTCATCTAAAAAATTATTATAAATCTTAACAATTGAAAATTAAGAAATGAATGATTAAAATTTTATATAAATGTAATGTATAAAAATTGTTTGTAAATTAATTAATCCATACTTTCTGTGAAAATATATAAATAATCTTGTAATAGAGAAATATTAGAAAAGTTTATGGGGCCCTAACCAAACAGCACCTAAAGTGATAATTAAGAAGGTTTATTTGAGTAGTGACTAATTAATAATGAATATGAAATTTTATTAATTAGTTATTATATTTTTATTTTATTAGACAAAAAAATTAAGCCTATCTAAAATTTGTTAGATAGACTAGTATTTTATATAGATGTTTTTATAAAGTAACTTATCTAAAAATGTGATTTTATATTTTTTAATTAATTTTAATATATTTTTACTATAATAAAAAATGAAAAAAACTTATCCTTACATAACAACAAAACATACCACTACAATAAAAAAAAAAAAAAGGCCTTTCTCAATGGTGGCTATAGGGGGGAATTTTATTATTATGAGTTATTCATATATAAATAAATTTTCTTACAAATTTTAAATATTATTTGAGAGAAAAAAAGTTATTTTCAGCATTCTTAAAATTTATAAACAAGCTCTATAAGAAACTACAAATGATTTTTCTAAAACTTATAAAAACTCTTTGAATTTTAAAAAGAAAATTTTCCCTTTCAAATTTTGTGACAAAATTTTGTTTATAAAGAACTTAAAGGAAGGATGCACCAAACACCCCCAAATGATTATTTTAAAATTTTTCATTATTTTCAAACAAATATGTTGAACATAACATATTGCTTCTATCCTAAAATAATTATTGTAAACAAATATTTTTTTATTTAAAATTTATCATTATCTATTTATTTTGATTAATTATCCTATTACAAAAAATTTTACTTTATTTTTTAATTTTTTTAAAAGATAATATAAATAAATATATAGATTATTCCCAAATGCTTAATTTTAAAAAAAATAAAAATTATTTTAATATAAAAAAAGTAACACTATAAATTTTTATTTGAAATGGAGTGTTCTTGACTATCTGCTTCCCAATAATTATGTTTTTTGACTTCTTCTTTTTTTAAAAAAAAATTAAGAATCTTAAACTTATTTTTTTCAAGGTAAAAGAAAATGTAATGATAATGGTACAATTTTAATAATAAGATAAAAATTAAAATTAATAGATACTAATATGGTCAAAAAAAAAAGAAAAAAAAAAGACAAGTGATGTGAATAAATTTTTAGTAAAAATATAACAATTATTATGAGATATAGGAAGAATATACTTCAATGGAATGAATTATTGTATATTGATGGATAAAATAAAGGAATATTATTTATTTATATTAAATATTAAAAAATAAAAATATTGAAAATAAAAAAAGGGGAGATAGAGGATACGTGCCCAGCTAAGATACGGTCGGTCACGGTGTGGGGTGTTACCGGCGCCGAGAACGCCATATATGCCTGATCTTGATTTCAGATTTCCCGAGGAGAGTGGTCGGGCGGTTATTGCGGCTGATCTTACTGCTACAAAACACATGTAACATGTTTTTTTTTTTTTTTAACATGAACACATGTAACATGTTTTGGTCGTCTAGAAATGTAAAATTATATCAACAAATTAAGTAATTTAATAATAAATTTTTTAGTACTTGGATTTCAGTCCAGCGACATCAAATGACATTTAAGTTTGTTTTTTTCATTTGAACAACGGTTTGAATCTGATTTTTTATAAAATTGTTCAAAAAAAATTAATAATAAATTTTTTTAAATAAAAGCAAAAGTTTTTTTTATTTTAAATCTTATGGTATATAAGTAAAATAAATTTTAAAAAATTATTTTTTATTATATAATTTAAAATTAAAAAAAAAAAACTAAAAATATGCTATCTAAAATAAGAACAAAAAGCATTCTCTTGTTGTGGTCCATTGGTGACCATTGCCGTTCAAAAGAGTTGTCGATGAATTGCACTCCAATTAATGATCGAACATTATCAAAGAGTAAGATATTAACTTTTAACTCCTAACTCCTAACCATTGTCCTTGTCAAAAAAAAAAAAAAAAAACAAAAAGGAAAAGAAAAGAAAAGAAATAAACATATAAATGTGTGACTTTAACTGTAAATTTTGATGGTCCTTTACGAATTATAAATGGTTATTTGAGCTACAAGGACTTCTTGACTGTAATTATAAACTTAAAATTGCAATGGAAACAAAATTAATAAGCCTAAGAAGTGTGTTAATAGATTAAGAGTTTAAAATATGAAGTTAGAGACTTCCAAATGGCTAAAGAAGATTTAAGGGATGTATAACTTATCATTTAGTCTATAAGAAAAACAACACTGATAAGTGATAAGTGAATAAGGGGTTAATTATGTACGAAAAAAAAATGAAAAAAGAATAAGGGGTTGATTTGCCTATGCCTGTATTCTAGCGTGTTTGATTTAGGCCAATTCTTTCTTCTTCTTCTTCCTTCTTTATTTTTTGAACATTTGGGAACTTTGTGCGATGGGGGAATTGTACAAAGTTTTGGAAGAAACTGGGCCGCACTCTCTGATTCATATGACCCAATAGCCTCTGTCCACAAACAACCAAAATGGAGTGATCTCCATGGAAAGGCTTTCTGTTTTTCACCCATATATGCCATCCAACTATCCAACAGTACAATGTACTGTCGTTTTGTGAAGTAATTTCGCATTATTATTAGTAAATTAAATATAACTCGTTCAAAAAAAACTCAAGGTCAAGTCTCTAATGTTAGGTTTTTTTTGTATTTTTATGATGGTTTAAAACCATGATTCAAAAGAATTTAATTTATTTTTATGCTAAATGTACAAGAAAGTTAATTCAAGGATTCTAATCTTTCCCCATGATTAGAATTGAATCATATCCTTCTTGTTCAGAGTTCTGGGTTCGAATCAATTATATTTGATTCGAACCAATCTTGAACTTCTTTTTTCCGAGAATGATTCGAACCAATATTTTAGGCTTCGAAGCAAAAATTCTGGAAAGTTAAATTTTGATAACTCAACTATCTGTTTATTCTTAATGAGTCATAGTGTATCTAAATATCTTAGCACTTTCCAAGACAAGTCAGAAAAATAAGGTGGAACTTAGTTGGGGCAATTGTGAGGTGGGTTTGAAAGGCTAATTGGGCTTTAATTGCAAGGCTCCCAACCAACTATTAAAAGGACATCAAAAATCAGATCTGATGTATGAAGAAGGACGAACTGCTCCAGCAATACAGAAAAACAGGGTTTGTTTTTGAAAGTGTTCTAGATCTCCTTCTTCTTCTCTTCTTGTGAGCTTTTGGGTTAATTGTCTTACAAGGGTTTTGTATTCTTCTTGGATTGGGATAATCCTTGAAAGGGTTGAGTGAGTTGAGATTCACTTGTGAGGGTTTAATATTGCACTCGCAAGCAAGAGTTTGTTTCAGTTTAATCTTGCACCCATAAGCAAGAGATTTGTAGTGGAAAGAACTCTCAAGTAAGGAGGCTTGGGGAGTGGACATACTCCGGGTTGGAGGAACCACTATAAATCACAGCTTGATATTCTCTTCCCTCTCTTTTATTTTTCTGCACTATAGTACTCTTGTTTATTCTGCACAACAGCTTATATATATTGAAAACTTCATTCACATTTTTATAAAGGAAATGAAATGAGTTTTATATCTTAGGAATTGAGGGATCGCTAGCTAGGATTACATCTAATTAGTAGTAATTAATCAAAATTTTTATATCACTTATAATCATTCTTTTTCTAACACTAAATGACTTAGTGGTTATTTACCTTTAAATAAATGTTAAAACGGTAATGTTTTGGGTTTTATACTCAATTCTTTTCACATCCCAAAATTTCCTTTGTTCAAAAAAATGAAAAATCACACTTAATTTCTTCCTATGTTAAGAATATTTTTGGTGCATCGCATGAACCATTTGTATATAATTTTTACAAAGGATCGATGGATATTAATTAAAACAATTTTTTTCCTTTAAATTGTGGTGTTGAAATTGAAATCTCCAAAGTTCAATTATTTAATTAATTCTATCGTCTACATAAAGTGTACATTGCCAAACTCAATCCATGTTTATATGCTGGTCTCTTAAATTAAGGCCTCAAATTTCCACTCTTTTTTTTTTTTTTTTTCTGTTACACCGTCCAATGGATAAATATCACTGATAATGAAAACAATAATATTGTGAAAAGAAATTAACTTATGTCTATTTTATGATGTATCTTAATTAATTTATTTACTTTTTAAACAAATTATATTAGAGTGAAAGAATTCGAATCTCAACCACATCTTCAATGAAATATAGAACCATCAGGTCACGAGATCCAAGTATACCTATCTTAATTTATTTACTTCACAAATCATGATGCTGCATAAATAGATAAACTTTGTTTTATAAGAATAATAAATTGGTGTGACCAATGTTAAAATTGATTGTAATTATAAAAAATTAGAGTATCACATATACTCTTGCGATCATATCTCTTTCATAGCAAAAACAAAAACTCTGTTTTGTCTAACTTCAACTTTGATAAAACTAGTTAAATCCAACACAAACCAAATTACTCGTAGATAAACACAGCCTCTTGCATAGATGTCCAACTATATATATCTACACCTACCAATGTATATTCTTCTCCATGCCCACATTGTTGTCTCTTTAATTTGGTGGTCCTAACTTGCCCAATTAATATTATTCCATTTCCACCAGAGATTCAAAAAGCACTGTATATATAGATTAGGCCATGTTGTTCCACTCCACCCACTTAATCTATCTTCCTTTTTGTCCATCTTGTAAAGATTATATTAAATTATAATCTTGCTACATATAATGATGGCTAGCTCGCCAAACACGCCCTTATCAACCTCTATATATTATCTTCTTCAAAGGCTGTTACCATACAAAGCCAGCTAGCTAACAAGTAGTTTCAAAAATGTCTGAAATTGGGCCAAACTGTGCTAGGATTTATGTTATGCAAGAGGAATTGAGAAAGAAGATGAAGAAGAGGAAAGAATGAAGAGAGGAGAAATTGTTGGCGTTGAGGAGAACAAAGTTGGTGGACGGGAAAACAAGTTCCATCTGGGTTACTCTGCTTCTCCGGTATGTCATGATGCTGGAAAGGAGAAAGAGGGATCCAAGGACAATGTGGCTTAAGTTTGTGCTACCTTGTAATGTATTTAGCTTATGCACTTGATGTTGCTTTGGGTTCCTTTGTCTGTCCAATGTTGTGCACAACATTGGAGATGTTCGCACAAAAAATGTTTCCAAGTTTGGTTGTGTTTTCATCACCTATTTTCAAAAAAAAAAAAAAAAGTTTGGTTGTGTGTTAGTTATTGTAATTTTCCCTATCCCCAAATAAGTTGACAACTAAGTTACATTTTTCTCTTTTTTTTTTTTTAATTTCTCTTTAAGTGTATAATTGAATACTCCTTTCAATTTGATTTAGTTGTCTTAATTTGATTTTTATATAAAATTTAACTAAATGATTTTATATAATGAATATATAAAAATTAAAATTTTTTTTCTTTATATACATAATTCTTGTTTAGTTTTTTTACTTAGATGAAAAAAATTTTCAAAAGTTATTTATTTATTCATTCTATAAAATCAATCAAATTAATTTATATGAAGTTGAAGGATTAAAAAAAAAAAAGACCATTATATATACATGTATCAATTTAACCACATGACAAGGAAAGTTAAAAATAAAAATAAAAATAAAAGAGAGAGAGAGAGAGAGAGAGAGAGAATTTCCTGTCTTACGTACAAGGACAGTTCTGAAATCAGAATTCAGGTAACTGGTTTGGGATTTGTTAGAGAGAATGGTACCCATGTTTCCTCTGCAGATAGATGTCCGAGATGCATGGACTGTAGAGTAAGTTCTTCGTAAAAAGATAGAAATTGGCTGACACAACTGTGTAAAGGATATGCTTTTGATGAATGAAACAGCTACTACTGATGAACTGCTTATCGGTTGCTCTAGAACATCAGTATGATTATTGTCATACTTCTTCTAAATGTAGTTATCACAACAATGCAAATTCTTAC